GTGTGCAGCTGACAAGTAGTTTATCTTGGTCACTCAATAGTGAGACACTGGTGAAGCAAGCATGGGCGTGCCTGCATTTTCTGTGTTGTATGAGAAAAGCATATCTTCCTTCCCCTGTCATTACTACTTTCTATAGAGGGACAACTGAAAGCATCCTCTTGTATTGTATTACTGTATAGCTTGGAGCTATTAGGAAGGCGGTGCAGATAGTGGTGAGGACGGCAGAAATGATTATTGGAAGTTTACTTCCTTCTGTCCAGGATATGGCATATAAACGTTGCTTGACCAGGCTCCACAATATTGCCTGGTATGCTACACATCCTTTCCATAATTTGTTTTTCTTTTCACCTTCTGGGAGGGGGCTTTGTGGTAGCGGAAGTGGATTCTGTACTAGTTTGTACCATACAGTATCACACTTGTTAACTATCAAAACTGTTTTTCCACTATGTATTCTAAATGGTCTGATTAATATATATGTCTATATGTGTGTATGTGTGTGTATATATATATGTGTACCATGTTTTCCCCAAAATAAGATCCAACTGGAAAATAAAACCTAGCATGATTTTTCAGGATCCTCATAATATAAGCCCTACCCCAAAAATAACCCCATTAAGATCATCAGCGTGACCAACCCAATTAGTACCATATTTCCCCAAAATAAGACCTAACCAGATAATAAGCCCTAATGCATCTTTTGGAGCAAAAAATAATATAAGACCCAGTCTTATTTTTTGGGAAACATGGTGTTGTGTGTGTGTGTGTGTGTACATGTGTGTGTGTACACGTGAGTGTGTGTGTACACGTGTGTGTGTATAAAAGGTAAAGATTCCCATCGCATGTATATGCTAGTCGTTCCAGACTCTAGGGAGCAGTGCTCATCTGTTTCAAAGCTGAAGAGCCAGTTCTGTCCGAAGACGTCTCCGTGGTCATATGGCTGGCATGACTAAATGCTGAAGGCTCACGGAACGCTGTTACCTTCCCACCAAAGGTGGTTCCTATTTTTCTACTTGCATTTTTTACATACTTTCAAACTGCTAGGTTGGCAGAAGCTGGGACAAGTCACAGGAGTTCATTCTTTTATATGGCAGTAGGGATTCGAATCGCCAAACTGCCAACCTTTCTGATTGACATGCTCAGTGTCTGAGGCACCGTGTGTATGTATGTATGTATGTATGTATGTATGTATGTATATGTATGTATTTATGTATTGCATTTGTGCTGATAAATAAATGAAGGGAGACTACTATAGATCTATTTCAAGCTATTTAGCTCTCATCAGCTAGGAATACCCTTACTGGGATTCAAACTTGGGCTGATTTTTACATATTAGGCAGTTGTATTAACCTCTAAGCCACAAGATCTCGTGTTTTGTCACCTGGTACATCTAAATATGGGAGGGAGCATACTACTTCCTATTTTGTCTTTCAGCCCGCTCCAGGAGCCTTCCAGGCAGAAAAACCATTTGTGTGTGTGTGTGTGTGTGTGTGTGTGTGTGCGCACGCGTGTGTATGGATACGGATATACATAGCAATAGCAGTTAGACTTATATACCGCTTCATAGGACTTTCAGCTCTCTCTAAGCGGTTTACAGAGTCAGCATATTGCCCCCAACAACAATCCGGGTCCTCATTTTATCCACCTCGGAAGGATGGAAGGCTGAGTCAACCCTGAGCCGGTGAGATTTGAACAGCCGAACTGTAAAACTGCAGTCAGCTGAAGTAGCCTGCAGTGCTGCATTTAACCACTGTGCTACCTCGGCTCTTACACATACACATACACATACACACACACATACATATACATACATATGGTATATGTATGTATATGAATAGGGGTGATCAACAGAGATGAAGAATGAGTCAACAGTAGAAGGTTGCACCTTAAAAATCACTGCATTCTTTGCCAGTTCTTATTGCCTTCGTAGTCTTTCCATTTTGACCCATTGTCAAATGTATGAACACATTCATATTTTGCTTTCCTCTGGGGATTCAAGATGATAACCATTGTAAGAGGCTGGGACATGGGGAGCTTTGTGTTCCCAATCTATTTACTTATTCTGCAGTGAATATTAGGACAACCTTTGAGAGGCATCTCCCTATGTCCCTTTCCAGCTGACATGTACTGAACGTGTCACCAGAGGGGGCTATTGCTAGCCAGATATTGAAGTAAAATTGAAGCATTTTCTGGCAATTCCACCTCAATTAGAACAGAAGCACAAAAGCATTTTACCTGGGTTCTGTCCAATTTGTTTAAGTTAAAAAGTTCCCAAAACTTATTTGTGTATAATCATTTAAGCAGCACATTGGGCCTTGACTATCACAAACATCATAAGCTTCTTATAGGGTGATCTATATTTGATTAAAGCTCTTTTTTCCTGCAACTTTTAACTGGGCAAAATGGTGCATCACAGGGCAACTGTTTTTGAACCAAGGAAGGAGCCCCATGCACCCCACCAAACACATTGTGTGCCTTCCCTGACCCATGCAACACCTCTTGCAAACACACCCTTCCTGACCCACACCACCCCCTATGCGTTGTCCCTAATCTTCATGGCACTTCTAATTCTCCCCAAAGCATCCCCGAGCACCTGTCGTGTCTCAATCCTGCAGCAGCTCTCACACATTTTCATGGCACATAGCACTTATATTCCGTTTCATAATGCCTTTACAGCCCTCTCTAAGCAGTTTACAGAGTCAGCCTATTTCCCCACAACAGTCTAGGCCAGCGATGGCTAACCTTTTTGTCATTGTGTGCCGTAAGCGTGCGCATGCCTGCGTGCCCACACCCATAATTCAATGTGTGCATTACCCCCTCCTCCACACATACATGTGCAGCCCCTCCACATGTGCCCTGTGCATGCGCCATGCTCTCCCTTGCCCACCTTTGGCTTCCAGGTTGGTGCAGGAGGCTTTCCAGGCCCAAAATAGGGTGGGGGGGCATGCTGTGTGAGCCCCCCAAATGCAATGTGAACCCCCCACATATGTACCCCACCCCCATTCATGCACATGCGCGTCTCCGGCATGCACCCCACTCCCCGCGCATGCACGGCAGAGACCTGAGGACTAGCTGTCCAGCAGGAGGCATGCGCACATGCGCAGTGGAGCTGGACTAGAGCGATGATGGCGTACCTGTAGAAAGGGCTCGGCATGCCACCTGAGGCACGCGTGCCATAGGTTTGCCATCACGGATCTAGGTCATTTTACCCACCTTAGAAGGATGGAAAGCTGAGTAAACCTTAAGCCAATTCAGAATCAAACTCCAGGGTGTGGGCAGTCTGCCTGCAATACTGCATTCTAACCACTGTGCTCTGTTGGCTCATGCATCCTTCTGGACCCAAGTTGCCCCCTCCCTACGCATTCCATGTGCACTCTCAAGCATCCCAATGCACCTATCCTGATCCTCATGGTACCTCTCGCACACCAAATGTACCATATTCAACCTGTTTCCTGCGCATTCTTTGAGCTATGTGATGCCTCTCACACGCTAAGAAATCTTCAGGTACCACTCCTTTTTCCATTTGTGCCACCCGTGTGCCCACCCTGACTTGGAAACTTTCCGCTGGCTTCCCCACTGACTTTTTTTTTTTTTGCCTGGCAAGCTTTTCACAAGCAAATGGGAAAGCCAAAAGGAATTCTAGGAAGGGAGGGAAACAAGTAAGATAATGACAGAATGTCAGAGAGGGAAGATTTCCTTGCCATGAAGAAACTCAATGGGGAAGCCAGCAGGAAGTTGGAAGCCCTTCCCACTCCCCCTTCTCTTTTATTTACTTGTGGTTATTCCGTTTCTGTTTAGGTAAGGAAATATATATGAAATTATGGGGGTGGTCTAGGAGAGTCACAACCAAATGGTTTAGAGAAGGGATTACTAGATACTCTTGCCATCAGTTAATATATTGGAATTCTTCTGGTGCTTTACTTTTAATTTAGTTTTGCCTTTTGTAACCCTCAGCTTCTAACACTATGACGGCACAGCTTTTAAATATTAATATTATTTTCTTTTCTTAATTTTTTTAATCAGTCCTGACTTCATCAAGCAAGTAAATTTTGATCGTTCTAGATGAGTGTATTCTCAGAACAAGCAGCAATTTTGTCATAAAAACCTGGGAATAATACCACCAGCGTTCAAAAACAAAGAATAATTTACTTCAGCCAAAGCTATTGAAATAACTCATTCTGGGAGGAGAGCTGTGTTAGTCTACAGCAATCAAAAATTAGAGGAAATCTGGCAGCACCTTTTCTGACTAGCAACTTTTATTAAAAGGAATAAGCTTTTCATGAGCTTTCCATCTCACTGTTCACGTCCCAATTTAAATCCTACATCAGTTTAGCCATTCCGTGTACCTGATGACTTAGTAATCATCATTACTAAAGCTAATTACCTTTAATAAAATTCATCTGAAAAGATGCTACCAGCTTTCTGATTTTTTTAGTTAACCCATAGAAAGTTATCCCCGATGTTCAGTTCTGGTTAAAAGAGGAAACATCTCTTTTTGCGTTTGACAGAAAAGTACTTTTCCTTCTCAATTAGGAAGCAGCAATGTATAAATGGAGATACATCTGGGCAGGTGAAATTTGGAAATATGACTAGAAATAGCCAATTTGATATAGTGGTTAAGGCATCTGTTTAGAAACCAGGAGAAGATGCGTTCTAGTCCCACCTTAACCATGAAAGCCAGCTTTGAGCCAGTCATTCTTTGACTTTGAGCCAGTCATTCTCTTGGCTCAACTGACCTCACAGGATTGTTGGGGGAAAACAGAAGGAAGGAGTATTAGATATGTTCACCACCTTGAGCTGTTTATAAAAATAATAAAGTTGGACTATTAATAAATATTACTGGACAGTTTTACAGAACACTGCAATGTTGAACAAGACTAATAGTTGTCTTATAAATAATAACTCCAGGTGCAATATTAAAGAAATAGTAACATTTACAAAGAAAATTTCCAACAATTGTATTTGTCAGATAACTCCTAGGAAGGATAATTTTTAACAAAATGCAGGAACTAAATGGTCAAAACCTTTAATGGATTAAAAAAAAAATCCACACAAATACACACAGTTGAAAAATCTACCAAATTTGAGAATCAAAGGATTCTTATCTGGAATACAGCGCAATTCCCCTCCCCCACAAAAACACGCTTTTCTTTGTAACACAAACTCTGATCACTTTGGTTCAGATACTTACAAGTATTGGCAAGATTGAACTTGGCTGTCATCTCAAAACACAGATTGACAAATAAACTTTACAAATTAAATATCTGATTTCATGATTACATATTTACAATTACAATTGTCCATTTTCTTAATTACATCTGGTAGTAAGGTATTACAGGAAGGTAGTTTTCCTGTGTGCAACCTCAAAACTAAATTTAGAGGACATAGTGGCTTTCATCTTGCACATACATGTTAGAGCATACTCAGATAATACCATTTAAACGGGATTATATAAGAAGTGAATCAATACACTTTAAAGAAACAGTGGAAAATGAAAAACCAGGCTTCAAAGCTGCAGCCTATAATTTACTACTCAAAAATACCACAGATTGCAATGTAACCTCTTCAGAATAAACCCATTTACTCTATAGTGCTTGAAGCTTCTTTTCCCCCCCCCCCCAAACTGCCACTTTGTTTAAGGAAAAACAAACAAAAAGCTGATTAATATGCTTTCCAAACAAGTTTGATGCTGAGGTGAGCAAATTCAAAAATTCACTTTGGAAGTGATCCACAAGCATTCAAATATTTCAATAACCTAGTCAAACCAAAGAGGGGGGAGGGGAGGCTCTATCCTCATCCACCTATATAGCCTCTGAACTCTTATCCTTTCTGCTTACTTCCTTTTTAAAGGAGCAGGAGCTATCTCCAAACTTGGCAACTTTAAGACATGTGGAGCATGACTGACTGAGGAATTCTGGAAGTTGAAATCCACGGGTCTTAAAGTTGCCAGGTTTGGAGACTCCTGAGCTGGAAGAGAAATGATTCTGGAATTATTGGTATCCTTCTCCTTTGCATTAACATGCTGTATGGGTGTACTCTGAGAACAGAGGGAATCTCAAAACCTTTTCCTGGTTCCAAAATAAGACAATAAATTCTAGAATTTAGAAAACTAGCCTTCTGTTTTTGGCAGGCTTTTTCCAGCACCTGAATTTAATTACTACTTGGAAAAAAAAATTCTATGGTGACATCTCAGGTTTAATGTCCCCAGAAAGGCAAAAAAGGACCTAGGACTGTGGAAAGTAACTGTATCAGGGAATATTACCTTCCCTGAGCAAATCACTTTTGCTTTCTCATTCACCACAAACTGGTTAGTTTAAGAAGGGAATCGAAGTCTTCTCCAGATATTGTTGTGAGTCTCCTAACCCACAGCTGCATCCTTGGAGGATTTTGTGTTGCTGCCTCCCAAACTGCTGTTCAGTGGGGGAGACCAGAAAATAAAGTTGGAAAAGGATCCCATTTGGAAAAATGCTGTTTTGGGACAAAACCTGGAGAAGATTCTTCAGCTTATCTAAAACTCATCGGGGAAACTAGTGACTCCGCAGATGTTTTCGGCTCTCAGTTGTCATCTGCACCAGGCAGCATGATTAAAGATGATGGGAAATGGTTTGAAAATTATCTGGAGCTCCCCAACTTCTTCTGCTTGGTCTAAAACTTGAACCTTCTGATTGGACTGGAAGCTGAACGAAACTGGAAGCAAAAGTGCCTGAAGTTGAATGATAATGCAGCATGAGCTCTGTTTTGCAATTAGAGCCACAGGAGTGGAGTATTTCTCAAGAGTTTAGTAAAGGATGCAAACTAGCAACACTAGTTAGATTATTGCTGATGTTTGCTTTCATAAAGCATTAAATAAGTTCAAAACTTTTTTCTCTTTAATATTGTTTGCTGGAGATATTAAAGAGGATACTACGAGGCTCAGATTCCATTCAGCTGTACATTGCACTTTAAATTTTGAAATTTAACACCCGCTCATTAGGTCAGTGGTGACTTATAGTATTGAACTAACTATTGTGCTCACCCTGGAACTAGTTGAGTATACCAGATATTTAATGCAGTGACATTAGCACTTTTCCGTATAAAGCAATCACAGATTGCAAGTTCTGCAAATTTGCAAAATCAAGAACACAGTGATCTCTTCAGAAATTCAGACAAGAGATCATTTACAAGAGACTTTAACTAACACTATTAACTTTCCCCGTTCTTTTCATGGCAAGTACTGTTTCTGCTCTGAAACCTGCCCAATTCCCAGAGAATTTAACAAGTATCCCGCAAAAATGTCCTCTTCTTCATGATATAGTGTAATGAAGACACACTTATTCGTGAAGTCAGTAAGGACCCATCTAAATTCATCCTGTCTAAAGAACCAGTAGGCCATCTCTTGGAAAAATGTAAATTTTGGCTGCGTGTTTCCAAGAGAAGTGATATAGGGAGCCATAAAACAGCCAAGCAGCTAACAAATTGTTGGTTTTCCAAGATGATTTGCTCCTCACCTCAAGAAGCCAGGTGCTTAAGACATAAATCAATGTAATATTCCTGTGCTAGCCCTTTTACAGTAGGAGGATCTGTGAAAGCCTCTTCTCTAAGACCTGGGCCCTTATTTCTTTATACAGCAATGGTTCTTTCTTTCAGGTCCCCTTAAAAGCAATCACAGGATAAACGATACTTGGAGAAATACTATTACACTACTCCACCATGCCATACCAAGCAACTGTCTTTGGGTATGGGTAGAATTAAGATTTGCTTCAAGCTTTGAAAATGGCAGCTGTTTCAAGGACTTGGAAGGACAGCCATTAAGGTTCGGCTTATTGTGAATGAAAAGTCCGTGCTGAACTTTTTCCACCAAACAGTCAAACTCAGAAACTTCTCAGAAATAAATCAAGGTAACCTCTTGGCCACTTTATGGTGAGTTCATTCTTTCCCAGATTTCGGGAGCTCATGCTGGTAATTCAAGACGAAAAATCCTAGCTTGAACTGATCCTTTTTTTGCTTTCACAAATACAAGTCAGACCCGGTTATTTAGTCACTGTGAGCCTTCTCAGGAACACCCTGTGGAGAAAGCAAAAAATCATTGTACTTTTTTAAAAAAATCTGAAATCTGTCTCCTTTGAAATTAGGGTAGTTGTGTAAAAGCTTAGATTCCAAAATGCTATTACTGAAATGCTAGAGAACCATCTAGTATACCAGCCCTAAACATTTCAGGTAACTCCTTTCACAAAACACAGATAAGAATTTTGTAATCATTGAAATAATTACCATTTTAAAAGCAAGTAAAGGGAGGGAGATGAGCAGGCCTGCAATGTAGTGTCATAATCCAATGAAGCATCTTTTTGCTTTCAGCCACCGCCTAATGGTAACTACTCTGTTTGTTTCTGGAAACTGGATTAAAGGTCAAAATTGGGCAATCGCACATCAGACTACAGCTCAAATGAGGCTTGGATCCCAAAATAAGCATGACTAAGGGAGAATACAGTTCCTTTCTGCTTTTGGCAATATAATAGCTGGATATGCAATGAAGCCCTATATGAGATGGGGCCAGCATATATTTGAAGGACCACTTCTCCCTAGTTATATCTACCTGGCCAACCAGGCAGAGAAGGTTGTGGGTCTTTTAAGGGGTATACCTGAAGGGATCTAGAAGACAGGCCCCTTCATTGTGGTGGCTCCTTCCCTTTGGAATATCATCACCTCTCTTGACTCTCTCCTTGCTACTTTTCTGGAAGGCCTTGAAGACATGATTCTGTCAGTGGGCCTGCGGACCTCAGACTGATTCAGAAACAATCAAGCGGGTTGTATAATTGTACTTGTCATTGCCACAGGGGAAGTGTGGGAGACTCTGGGGTTTTTATATTGTTGATTTATAATGCTGTACACGTTGCCCAGAGTCACTGTATATCAGTTGGCAGTTTATATAAATCAATTTAATAAATAAGAAATAAAACAAATGATACTCCTTCTGCAGTCAGAGAAGCAGCCTTTGTTACTTTAAACAAGATGATTAAACACGGGCACAAACAAATATAAACTAAGGAAGAAAGACGAAAAAGAAAGGAATCAAAGGAAAAGCTAGCAGCACAAGGGAAAAAAAGTTGAAAAAAATAGCAGCGTCTATATTTTTCACATCTGCACTTATAAACATATATTTTCACCTGCCTGTCTAAAGTTACATATTACTCTTCTTTCTATAACATATCTTAATTATCAAACCCATACATCACAAGTTTCTTTCATTTTTATGCAAAAAGTCCCTAAGATACTTCCAATCACCAATAAAAATGGTAAGCCTAATATCTGGAAGCTGTTATTAAGCTCATCTATTTGATGGGTGAGATATTTAGGGGAAAAAACATTTTCCCCCCAACCTATTTTTCAATACATTTTATTTATCTAAAGTCTCTCCATTAACAAGGCTGCTAGCACAACTATCTTGAACCCCAGACAAGGATGTTACTTACTCTGCACATTTGTTATGCCAGTTGTAGATAGATGGAAGAACCAAGGCTTTAAAGAAGGTTGAGGCCAACATTCTTAGTAAAATCAATCAGTCCTTACATAGAAGGAGCAAGTTTTCTGAGGCATTTTCTGAGATTGAATGCCTTAACCATTTCAATATTCAAGACACACTTAGGCATTTTCTGTCTTACTTCATTTACATTTATTGAAACTAGCAATAAACATGTCTGCAGACTGCCTAGGATGATATATGTTTACACAGCTTTAGAATACCTCTCATTATGAACAGGCATCATTACTTATTACATCCATAGGTAATAATTATGGTTTTATCAGCTGAAGATGCATTTTTCACTTTAAAAACTCAGCAGAGATATATAATTACCATAGCAAGTTGCCGTCCTATGTTTCCTACAGTCACACCGCCTGAGAAAAATATACATGGTAGCCAAGACCGGATATAAAGGAAATCTGGAGATGTATACCTAAAGGAAAGCAGAGGAGAAAAAAAAAATCAAGGATTATTTGTAGTTTTTAGCATCTCATCAAAACTGCTCTGGACATTTCACCTTGCTGGAAATAATAGGGAAAGGATAAGGAATTCAAAGTTTTCTTATCTTAATAGAAGTACCAAATATGCATACAGATATATTTAAAATTGTTAATGTTAATACTTTTATATTTACATTTTTATGCCACCATAAGTTGCCCAGAGTCATTCTAAACAGGTGGCATATAAATTTAATAAATAAAATAGTGAATAGAAACATGCATATTTATAGAGAAAACTTTGAATGTATTCCCTTGCCCTAGGAAAGGGAAGAAAATTTTTAATTTTTTTAAAGAAAAGTTATTATGTAGCTTTGCAAGTAAGTCAATGGAAGTTACTATGGTTAGAATTAACAAAGGCCTCCTCTAACGTCTCTTTGGTTTATATGCACAATAGAGAAGAGGAACTAGAATAGTTGCTCAATACTTTCTCATTCACTTACTTGTCTGCAATTTTATAGGGCCTATAACTCTTGGCAAATGTTTTAATGAAAGACTGGTTTTAGGCAAAGGAACAAGAGGGGGAAAATACCCTCTTTGTGCCCAGTTTCAGTCTTAACTGTACATATTACCAAATATAAAACTATTTTCCCATATTACACAGTTAAATTCTGATTGTGCACATAGAAATAAAGCTGTACTATTAAGTTAGGAAAGACATTTCCTTCTTTAAGAGAATAGACATCAATATTTGAAGAGCTAGTTTGGTGTAGTAATTAAGGTGCTGGACTTACACACCATAAGTTTTAGTTTTCTCCAGGTGAGTTTAGGACTAGTGAATCTCTTTTAGGGCCATCCATCTCAGAATGGTGTAGAGAAAATAGGAAGTAGCAACAGGCTGGTAGCAACTACAGTAAAGTGAAATGTGTGCAGGCATAATTCATGTCTTTTTTTAAAAAAACGCTGAACAATTAGAAAGAAGGGAATGCAAGGGGTACTTACTGATAAACTCCATTATAAACCAGAAACTGTGTAATCAGAGTTGCTACAAAAGCAATTGTAATCCCAAGACCAAGACCACTTCTTGAGCGATCAAATGTCCACCAGAGGCCCAGCGACAAAGCTGCAAGGGTCAGGGAAAGCTGGATGTTGTTCGCAAAATCCAATTTCTAAAAAGCAAGCTAAGGAAATTTGATAGACTGGCAAATTTCTTGCTCCACACAAGTCTTAACATCTATCCAAGTATCCCACCTTTTAAACCTTTTCACTTTTGACAGGTTCTTTACTTTTCCTACCATAATCTTTATGTCTTATCTATAACATGCACATGTGGAAATCAATTTATAGAAAGTACAAGAAGTAGAAAAAACTGTATTCGAGAGATCATTTTCCTGCAAATCTACTGGATTCCTGTTTTCAACTGAACATTTCAACCTGCAGGGGGCAATCTTTTCTATGTATTTTCTAAACTCTCTCTTAAGGAGATACTAAATTTCATGAAATAAAATTTAAAGCATATCCTGAGGGAGAAGTTATAACACAGCAAAGAAAAACAAATTGTTTATTATTTTCACAATTAGGCAGACTGAACTACCACATTTATCTTAAAACAATGTCTTGTATGAAAGCTGCTATTCTTTAAAGTCATACTTTAAAATAATTATAGGCCTACTGTTTTTTTTATTAGTATAAAAGAAATAATTCTTGTGCTCACAATTTGCTACCTTTCCAATAAATGTTTCTTCATAATACCTAAGCAATGCCCTATGCTCTGCAAGTGAAGAGATACAGAAGGGATTGTCTCACTTTTCTATTTAAGTTAGTTGGCATGAATAGTGTAGTTATTAGGTAAAAGTGTGGCCAAGTCTTTGGAAGGAAATATAAAAATCCTTCAGATCAGTCAGTATCTCTGTGCTGACAATAGAATGGAATCAAGCAAGCAAGCCCTGTGGATAAGGCACCAGGCTAGAAACCAGGAGACTGAGCCTAAACCAGCCTAAGCCAGGAAAAGTGGCTGAGTGACTTTAGTCCTGCCTTAGACATGAAAGCCAGCTGGGTGACTTTGGACTAGGCTCTCTCTCTCTCTCAACTCATCTCACAGGATTGTTGTTAGGGGAAAGTAGGAGAAGGAAAGAGTATATATGTACTGCCTTGGATTATTTATAAAAATTATAAAGGTGGAATGTCCCAAAGGTGCTTTTTCAAGAAGCAACTGGATTTTCTGGTTTTTCTTTGAAGATGCTTCGCTTCTCATCTAAGAAACTTCTTGGATCAGAAGCAAAATGTCTTCAAAGAAAAGCAAAGAAAGCCCAGTTGCCTCTTGAAAAAGCACCTTTGGGACAACCATGACCTGGATGACTGAGAATCTCCATAGACATAAGGTGGAATATAAATAAGGAGGCTTTTTTGCCAGTTCCAACAGCTTTAGTTTAGATCCTTCAGGATAAAACTGAAAGAGAAACAATAAAACTTTAAGCAGAGACTTCAGAGCAAAGATTCCCAACTTCAGGAACGTTTAAGTTATATGAGCTTCAACTCACAAATTCTGATGGGGAATTCTGGGAGATATGAAGTCCAGGCATTTCCAAAATTGAGAAATTCTGCTTTAAAGTATAGATAGCACAGGCACTGATTTGTGAAACATAATTACTCAAAACAATTGAAGCTGGTACAGTAATGATGGGGAAAATGCCAGGCAACGTTAAGCCTTTTTTTCCCAAGGATACAGCACTTGCATGGTTAATGCCAACGAAGACGGCGATACATCGCATTACACTTGCCCATTCTCGTTTGAATTTGTGAGGTTCACCAAGATGGCTGTCAATGCAAGGATACAGCAGGCCAATAACAGCTGTAAGAGGAAAATAAAAGAGATGCTGAAATCAGTTATGTTAACCATTCATTTTCCTCTCCCCAACAATCAGCAAAGCCTACTTTTCATTTTCTAAGCTACTGACGATTACAGGTAGTCTTCAACATTCGCTTAACAATTGTTCGAAGTTGTGATGAGTCCTTGCACTTATGACACTGCAGAATCCCCAGAGTTACATGATCAAAATTGGGCATTTAAAAATCAACACATCTTTATGACAGTTGCAGGATACCAGGGTCATGTGATCACCATTTATGATGTGTGTGTGTGTCAATTAAAATAAATAAGGGAAGCCAGATAGTTTAATGCTGAAGCAGACTGCCTCTGAAATAACAATTATTTTTACCAATAATTACTGTATTCAATAGTAACTTATAAGAAAATCTCTCTAAGGCTCAAAGTCTATGATTTAAGCTACTATAAAATATAGAAATACTTTTTTCCCTATGGAAAAATCATGTCAAGTATTTTTCAGATCAGCACAATGACTAAGTGGCAATACCTAGGACATCTCCATGCCAACCATGTTAATCCACCTATTTTTGTGAAATAAAAACTAATTTCTTTTTCCCAACTTGACTTCCAAAGAAAATATTTTAAGTCTGATGCCATAAATGGCTCTGGAGCTAAAGCTATGTGCAATCTTCTGTCAACAACTCTATTAAATACTGTAGTTTGGAACCCAATGGCTGGAATATCAAATATCAAAATTATTAAAAGGGATTGGCTGACCTAATTGAAAAGGAATTATAGTAATTCAGCTTTGAACTTTTATTTGTACTTTGCAAATAAAAAAGGGTCATTTTCTATGAGCATCTTGCTAGAAACTGAAATTGTTCTTAAAATAGGCACTAAGCCAGTCTCAGTTCCTCTCTTCTGTCAAAACATGTGACTTCCTTGTTTTTGATTGAGTATGTGGCATGTTCAGACTGAGAACCAATAGGAACTGGAGCACGCGACTCACCAGTTTCCACAGCGAGCCAATTATATGGCCAAGAGTAATGATGAATCATGCCAGCTCCTGGGTTAAAAACCTGCCAAGCAATAATAGCTAGAGGAAACTCTTCTGCTTTCCAGAGTGAAAAATAATGCCAAACTCACAAAGCCTTTAGACGGAAGGAGGAAACACACTGTGCTGCTAAAGGTGTTATTTTTTACATCTAATCCCAGTGACCTCCTTGTGAGGTCAAATACAGTCCTATCAAATATCAACATATAGAAGCTTTTAAATGCTACTCTGGGCACCTGTTTGGTTAAATAACGAGAATATAAAACCACTTTTAAAGCAAATAAACAATAGCATGCACCACTCTGGGCAATGAACTAACATACTTCAACCCATCTTGGAGACACAATTGGAAACCCCACCACTTTCTTTAAAACAAGCTTCCCACTTACCTGCTGCCGTCCCACAGCAAGGGGGCACCCACCAGGCAGAAGAGAAGATTGTAGAGATAACTTCCTCAGGGAACAGGGTTACATTCCTCTGAATCTGCAGTAAGTTTAGCACCAGTGCAAGGAAAGTGCCCACAGCAAAAAGCACCAGGCTGCGTTGCAGTAAGTCTCTGCTTAAGTTCAAGCTGCTACCAGGGACATGGCCTCTGTTTGGGCTGCTTGGGTGCCGTGCTGCATGACCCACTAAGGTCAGGGGAGAACTGGAGACAGATGAGGTTAGCATTTCACCCACTCTGGCTGCTAGCCCTGTTGAACTTCCACCTAGATGATCCTTATATCTTCTCCTGGCTGTACAAGAGCAACTCCACGTATGACTCTCAGGTTGAGGTACAGGTTTCTCCATCAGGTTCCTGAAAGAGATATGAAGGATCTTATGAAATACAGAATACTCAGAAAGCTATCAATATGTTATGTGCTGTATGTTTTTATCTCTATAAAAAATTCACCTTATACTTCTCTAACTAACCACATTATAATGTGGAATTCAATAGCACTTATGCTTTGGTAAGACCACCCATGGAATACTGTACTACATGGTTTCCACAATATAGAAAAGATATTGAGCCCTAAGAAAGAGTGCAGAGAAGAGCAAAAAAGATGATTAAGGGATTGGAGGCTAAAACACATGAAGAATGGTTTCAGGACTGGGTATGTTTAGTTTAATAAAAAGAAGGTCCAGGGGTGACATGACAGCAGTGTTCCAATATCTCAGCAGCTGCCACAAAGAAGAGGGGGTCAAGCATTCTCCAAAGCACCCGAGGATAGGACAAGAAGCAATGGGTGGAAACTAATCAAGGAAAGAAGCAACTCAGAACAAGAAGAAACTTGCTAATGGTTAGAACAATTAGTCAGTGGAACAACTTGTCTCCAGAAGGTGTAAATGCTCCAACACTGGACATTTTAAAGAGATTGGAAAACCATTTGTCTGAAATTATATAGGGTTTGCTGCCTAAGCTGCCTCCCTTTATTGTTATTCCCGATAGCATTAATATAGAACCAAAGAAAATGACATTAAGGAATTTTCTCCTAATTTTTAATTTTAAAAAGTCCTCTCCATCTCAGGTCTTGGCCTACCGAATTACCTTGGCTATAAGAATTAAAGATGTGAAGTACTTTATAGTAAAACAGGCAATAATTGTATCTTATGACCAAGCTAGAAAACTAGAGATTTGATTAAATTGCTACTTAGCCAAGCATATTTATGAAGTCACTTGACTTCCTTATCACACAAAGTTGCTGCCAAAAGAAACTTGCTTTGAAATTTTAGAACAACCACAAGATAAAACCATTATTAATTTAAATATTTATACTGCTTCAAGGAGTATATAATGCCACAAAGATTGTACTGAAGAATTTTATCTAGAATTCCAAACACAAACATCCGCATACAATATAAAGTATTATGATGTTAAAACAGTAAGAATTTTATAGGAATAAAACATAGTCCTTTAAAATTTTGATTAAATGCCAAAAAGTTGGTAACTACATAAGTAGATCTTCTCCAAGAACACCCAGTCCAAACCTGGTCCTTCACGTCTTCCAAAGATACACTTATCCACCTTGTTACTAACTGCCCTCTTCCCTTTCCTTCCACCTTTCCCAGCATCGTAGATTTCTTGAGTGAGCTGGATCTTCACATTGTGTGCAAAACATGATAATTTGACCTTGGGCATTTTTGCCTCCAGAGAGAAGAATCCAGGACAAGTTATTCTACGGGCAACATTTATTTACTTGGCTGCCCATGGTTGTCTCCGTACTCTTCTCCAACACCAAAATTCAAAACTTTCTCTATCTTTCCTGCTTCTTCAGGATTTAATTTCTATGAAGTGCATGCAGAATTCTGATTTTTACATGTATAGACCAGGGATCTTCAATTTGGCAACTTTAAGGAATTGTGGAATTCAACTCTCAGACTTCCTCAGCCAAGAATGCTGGCTGGGGAATTCTGGGAGTTGAGGTCCACAAGTCTTAAAGCTGCCAAGGTTGGACGCTCTGGTATAGACTCTTCAAGCTTAACCCAGTATGAAATGCAGCATTAAATTGCCCCAATACCAGTGACATGGCTTGTTTAAGTAACCAAATAAAAGCAGCGTTGGAAGGAATCTTGGAGGTCTTCTAGTCCAGTGTTTTTCAACCTTGGCAACTTGAAGATGTCTGGACTTCAACTCCCAGAATTCCCCAGGCAGCATTCGCTGGCTGGGGAATTCTGGGAGTTGAAGTCCAGACATCTTCAAGTTGCCAAGGTTGAAAAACACTGTCTAGTCCAATGCTCAAGCAGGATACACTATACCATTTTGGACAAATGGTTGTGTCTTTCTTTTCAAAAGAAAGCTTTCACATAGCTAGAGCCTATAATCTAAATGCTCTCACCATGTAGATAATTTCCCTCCCTTTACAGGGCAAACTGTAATAAGATGCCAGAGTAGTTTTGTCTATTTGGTGCTACAAGAATGTTAATATTGTAGGAAAAAGACTGCCTCTTGGGAGATGTACCTGAAGGCCACTGTATCTAGTCACAGAATCCCTTCGGCTTAGGGATAGAACCACCAGTCTGATATCTGACTTTACCATATTCTCCTATCAGGTAAGAAGGAGGAGTAAAACAAGTCTCCCTCCAATTCAGTCCAGCTGTGCTTTCTCAAGATTTCACCAGGCTAAGCATGTGACTTCAAACTTTGGAAAAAGCTAAGCAGGCTCAATCTTCATAATTGGATACGAGACCACCAGGAGAAACTTGGCCAGCTTGGGAAACTTGGTAAATATTCTGGAAGACAGTGGCAAGCCATATTCCCATATCCTTGGCAGAAAAAAAAAAATGACAAGAAGTCACAAGTGAAGCTTGACTCACGGGTCTGCTTACATTTTCTACTTTAGGTGCAGCAGAGACTTACAAATTGGCCTCCCTTTCAGCCTTTAACTGCAAAGATTTGAAGGAAGCTTAAAGCTTCTGATGTCATTTCTCTCTTGAACCCCCAGGCTCTTAACCACTAAAGTCCTGCCACTGATACCTGCAAGCAACCATTCAGAGAATATAAGGTGCAATATGAGATGCATATTATGAGATGCAAACCATACACGGTTGTTAAACATGGGCCACTCAAGCCTCCCATCTATACCTATTACAATGCAGAAAGCATTTACAAAGAACCACTAAGTGATCCCAACCTAAAGGTCCATCTGGATTTTTTTTTTTTTTACAAATTAAGTTTCTTCCAACCTGTGGTCAGTCAGAAAAACGACACCCCTCTTCTGGAGGGTGCCCAGTTTGTGTTTGTGTGTTTGTATGTGTGTGTGTGTGAATTTGCTGCAAAAGGCTAGAGAAAAAGGCAGACGTTCGATTCTAGGTAGAGGCAGATGTGGGGTCTCCTGCTTGGGCAGGGGTAGTGGTGGACTAGGTGACCTGCAAGGTCCCTTCAAGCTCTGTTGATCGGTTACCTCCCACCCCCACTCTCCCTTTGGCAGATACGAAGGCCTCTAAGACCCACCCGGCGTTCCCCATCCCACCCTTGTGTCGGGTACCCTCAGGTAGACTGCCTCCAACGGTGGAGTCTCAGGTGACCGTTAACTGTCAGTCTTCCACGAAGCAGTTACCGTTTGGGGGTGGGGGGGAAGAAGCGCCCCTTTCTCTCATATTCACACACACACACTCCCTCTCCCCAATACAGCCCACCCTCCCTCCCTCTTCCCCTCCCTCTTCCCCTTCCCCTACCTGCTGGGATTCTGGCTGCGGCAGCGCCCCTCTCAATCGGCCCTCACGCATACGCGCCCGGCCGGCTTATAAAGCCGCGAGCGCCGCGGCGCGAGGAACTCCGTGCGGCGCGCTCCTCCGCCCCTCCACAGCGGGGCTTGGAGGGCTGACGCGGCGGAGGGTGGGGGGG